AATTGTTGCCCAAAGAGGAACAAGTCAGAAAACGACGTCAACCCAAAGCAGACAAACAACGAAACATGGACCGCAGTGTCTCACCAAAAAAAAAAAAAAACCCTAATAACTTTAAAAAAAAAATACCATACCTTTGTCAGCGTTGCTCACAACATCCTCTACCACTTGAGCGAAACATTCTGCAACCGCCTGCATCATTTCTGTTTCTGGATCACGTCGACTTCCGCAGCTGCCACCACCATCGGCCTGTGAGCGAGACGAGATGGTGACAGTCTGCTGTGCGATTTCTGGAGGCATTGTCAAACCAAAACATGCATGGAGAGCAGCTTCCGTAGCTTGCTTGATGTATTTGAAAGCATGCGGAGGCGCATTTGGCCAGTGCTTTTTGTACAGTTCATCCAAAATCAATGATGATGATGATGATGAAGATAACGATGGTGAGGCGGAGGAGCAACCCGGCTGACAATGGGCGAAAAATTCCTTCGTCTGTTTTTCCGCTGTTGCAAGTGAATATTCTTCCAACATTGCGATCTAAAAAAAAAAGAAGACGACAGATGTCCGGCATGAAAAACGTTTGTACCGGAGAAGACAAAAAAAAAAGGATTAGTGAATTCGGGAAGTGCTGACATGCTCGCTTAGCAGCTATCTATTCAAAAAGGCTTACCAAATCTGCATCCAAAAAATTTTTTGCAACAGCTCCTGTCTGTGTTGCATGAGCAACAACACGACACTGCTGCCTGTCGGTCATCCAATACTTCATGAACATTCTTCTTAAGATGCACTCCAATCCCGTCAAAGTTTTGAGGTGCCGAAGGCGTTCCACCAAAGTACCATGGCGAAATAGAGATTCGTATTTTGCCGAAACCTAAAACAATCATTATTTTAAGGTAGTTCCCATCAAATATCATCATTTTTTCGCACGTGTATCATACCAGTTCCGGTGCGCATCAACATCCAAAAAGACAAGAGGTTCTTACATTAATTTGAAATGCTATAAAGTAGCAGAAGCGTCATACTTGGCTAAGGCGCACAGATATAAGAGGTAAGCGGGTACAACGGCGAATAATCAAGAAAGCATGAAAAGTTCTGGAATTAAAAAAGTCAGAAATGGGCGATTGCAGTGCCCAGTTCGGCAGAGATGAAACCTGTCTCCCCAAAAACAAGGAATAACACCCGGGTGAAGGGCATGGATTCACGTTAACGAGCTGTTCCCGAAATTTGCTTCGAAACGATAAACTAGCAACACAGTGATGCAAAAAACGGTACATGGCTAACCTATAATGTCTAGTTTCCGCAAAAAATGCACAAAGCTGGAGGAAAAACACGGATGGTGAGTGTACCAATTAAAAAATGAAGCACTGGCGCCTTGCAACGAAACTCCCTTTGCCAAAGATTGATCTCAATTTTTGACTGCTCCGTTACTAAGACGTAGGATTTTAATAAGAAAGGGTTCCAATTTGACGATTTCAGTAGATTTGACGATTTCCAATCTAACGATTTCAGTAGAGGCTGCGCAGGGTTATCTCCCGAATAGGTCACTCTCGAGAAAATTCCATGCATGAAAGGTAAGGCTCACTGACCTGCTCAACTGGACCGTTACTTGTAACTGGCTCATTACACTCTGCGTTTTGCACTTCTCTCCGGCGAAGACCAACTTCCGCGGTCGCTACAGCATTCCTATTTGAGATCCTTCCGGCAATTCCGCTCACTGTTTCCATCTCATCCGATGTCTACAGATAAATAAAATCAGTTATTTGACCAAGCACACGGCATGTCTCAGCAGCACACAACTTCAGGCCTCCGTCAAGTAAGACCATAAGCGGACCCAGGGGAGGGAGGGCGAGAGGGGGGAGGAGGGAGAGGTGATGGACCTTCCGCCCTCCC